TGGTGGCTACTGCATGCTGGATCTGTGCCTGAAAGAGCTGCTGGGTCGTGGGATGCTGTAGGGCCTGTCGAACCTGGACCAGACTTGTCTGGGGCTTGTGCTCCTGGATGGGCCTAGGTTCCCTGGGAATCGGGACCGTGGCTCTGACCGGGAGGTGTCGGCACCCACTGTCGGGCACGAAGGGTGCCTCAATTGGTGCCGCCCTCTTGGCAAGATCGTCACAGAGGGCTCCTTTGACTATTATATAGTCCAGTTGAGTGCCCAGCTCTTTGGATGTGGCCCCAGGAGTCAGGAATGTTCGCGCCTTCACCCCCCTCGGCTGCCAAGAATTGAGAATCGTGCACCTGTGATTTTGTAGCAGCTCACGAAAGTCGCCTTGGTCACGGTGTGGGCCATGTCCAGGGAAGACTCCTGGTCCGCAGTGAGGCTCATCTGCCACCGCATAGACATTGAGGTCTCCTGCGATCATGGCTCCCCCTCTGCAAGGCATGCTGCGAAGCCACTTGTCTATCACGTGCCACAGTCTGCGACGTTGCTTAAGAAGTGCCTCAAACTTGCCCTCAGTCGGGAGGTCGCCACGTCCTGGGTTCCATGCCACCTGATAGGTGCATAGGAGGTTGAAAGGTACGGTCTGTTGGATCCTGACATGTAGAGCACGGCCGGGTAGCAGGGTGACATGTCGGATGTGGGTTTGTGGTACCAATCCCTTCCTCACCAAGCACATCACTCCAGTTTTATCACCTCCGGCCGAGTGTATAACATGCCATTCAGGACCTCCCGTGCTCACCGCTGCAGTAGTGTATTCCATGTCCTGCTTCCAGTGTGTTTCCTGTATGCTGAGGACATCGTACCCTCTACCCGCATGGTGTTCAGAGTCTAGCCATTGAAGGAGCTCTCGATAGCGGATGTCCATCAGTCCACCACAGTTCCATGTGAGCACTCGAAGTCTCTGTGGTGGTCTGTGGTTCGTGATGGCTTTGTGTGTGGCCCGAGTCTTGTGGCCAGTTGCTGTGTGTTCCAATGTCTGCTCTGTGTGTAGCCGAAGTAATCTGCCTCGGTACCATGTCTCCCCTTTCGCGTTTTTGGAAGCTCTTTGTACTGCTCTGCGAAAGGCTCTTTTGCGAGTGTTTGCTGTGGGTTTGCTAATATCTGAGGCCAAGGTGCGTCTTACACCGTGCTTCGCCCAGTCATTGACTGATGTTGGAAGTTCTGTGGCTCCCGGACTTCTGCGGTGTTCAGGAAGTCCAACCCTCGCTTCTGCAGTAGCTGCTACTCCGATGGGGTGCTGCAATAAGATGAAAGCAACCAAAAGCAGGCGAACAAGCTTGCCAAATTGTTGCATGCTGCTACTGCCCAGGGACTTGGGACCCTGGCGGCTTCGTCGTTGTATTCGTGCTCGTAGAGCTGCTGGTAGATCAATCCTGGCATGAGGATGTTGGTTGGGCATCGGTGTCGTCCTGTGTCGGCTTCTGGTGTGCTGAGGTCCGGGACTGTTGACTTGTGAGGTCATCCTCCAGCTCTGGCCAGTAGTCAGCCTGGACTGCATGGAGATCCCTATGCAGCTCTGTCTGGGTTCGTTTGCATGTTGACTCCGATCGACTGAGGAAACTGAGGACACCCGCCACAAGCTCCGAGGGGTCCCTATACTGTACCTGGCCGCAGAGGGAGTAGATGATCTGGGCTTGCGCGGGGACGTGGGGTAGCGAAGTGGTAGCAGCCATGCGCACACGCTGAACAGGAGAAGTGCACATTGTTGCAGCATGCCGCCCGATTCCGTCACAGCATCAGCCGAGGCATATCGCCGGTCTGCTACCCCTCTCCCTTTGGAGTCCCATCGGTCCCTGTCAGTCATCCAGCTCCGCATGTCTGCGCCTGAGGGTCCAGGATGAATTGCAGATTTATCGGGTGCCCAATTGAACACTCTTTCGCCAGCAATCTGTAGATGAGTCCCGCACTTCCGTCTCGAAGGCGCCGGGGCAGGAGGCGAGGCACGGAACTTGTGCGTGGGGCGGAGCCGGGGTGTTGAGTCGCCTGCAGCATGCTCTGCCACCTGATCCTCGGTGTGCTCCAAGTCCTGTTGGTCATCGCTCACCGGCACACTCTGGCTCTGGGTCCCGACCTCCGTCAGATCAACGTCCTCGGATTCCTGGCCTTCATCTTCGTCCGTGTCGGAATCAAGATACACCGTGTGTGGATGCTCTTTAAGTGCAGGCCTCTCTCCGAGATGATTGAGCCCCACACGCCACCGCGTAATCGCCTGGTATCGAGCCGGGAGATCAACAAGGATCCTCCGTACATCCACACCTTCAGACTGCAAGGCGTTGGCAATTTTGGTGCCTAGGCGCTGGCGGGTTTCCCTTGCCTCACTCTCTTCCACGGATTCATTCATGGGCCTCGGAATCGGCGGCCCTGCTGGGCCACTGTCCGGGAGTGACCCGGCCGCCATATCCGGCATGTCGTGCACCGGCGGTGCATAGCCCGGAGGAGGTCCCCTTGGCAATGGAGTGCCCCCAGGGGTTCGCGGTGCCTCATCCCCTTCTGTATCGCCAGCTCGCCAAGGTGGCCTGCTTGCAACCGAACCTCGTCTGGACCTGGGGTCCTTTCTCCAAGCCATGCTGATATGCCCGGGTGGGGTTAGGCACTCGTCTCGCTGCCCTCGAGCCCTAGCAGTCGCAAGGCACATGATAGTCTGCGTGCATGCGCGGCTTCCTCGAACATGTCTGACAGGTTTGGCATTCCCCAGTTCAGGCCGGGCAAACAGGACTGGGCACTTGGCTGGCAGCGATGAAGTCGGGCACAGAGTATCCTCCGAGGCACAATGCTGCCAAGAGGTCTCGAACAGCTGATATGGCACCTTCCGCAGCAGCATTGGGATAATGATCTGGTGCCGGTAGTCGAAGCCTGCTTCGGACCTGTGCAGGATTGCCGTGGTATACTCAATGTCTGTAGAATATGTCATGCCCCCTAAGAAGACGCACAGAGCCACCGACATCATAGGCAGAAAGGAGGTCGTTCCGTACCTGGCCAACGGTGGGGTAGGCAGTGTGTGGAGGGGTAGAAGACAGTGAGGACGACTGCCGCGGCAAACTCGCATCATGCAGGAAGTATCCTCCTTTTCCACTCGCCGCATCACCCTCTCGCCAGGCTTACTGCCAGTAAATGATAACCGGCTTTCTGCCTGTATAGCTTCAAGCCTGGCAGCCTGTGCCCCGGAAGCTGGATTCAGTCTCTCACTCCTACTCAGGTTCCACTCTCGGCCGCCTGGCAAGGCGGAGCCAGATTGCCCAGACTGCACTGCAGGCCTCCTATTACGACCCTCCAGTCTCTCAAGCAAGTGAGTCCCGGGCTTCCGGTTTCCTGACGCCATGGCTTTCGACTTGGCCTTCGGTCCGCTCCTGGTACTTGAACTTCCCAATCCTCGATCGCCTCCATCGCTGCCCGATGCCGTACTGGAGCCCGCCGTAGGTGGAGGTGTCGCCGCGGTGGTCGCCTTCGCCATCGCACCAGGCGTAGTCGTAGCTCCTGCTCCATCCGCCCCTGCCACAACCAACAGGTTTGGATGAAATGAGTCCGCGGGCGTGAGCGGCCACAGCTCAACCCGAAGTCCTTCCTGTCCTTGCAGGTTCCACGGCACATGTGTCAGCACCCGGTGAACTGTTTGTCCTCGCTCGCGCAATGCTCCAGCCACTGCTTTGGCAACCGCATGTGCCGTCTCTTGCACCGTTTGCACCGGCTGTGGTGACGGTGGGCCTTTGGGGGCTGCCGGCCCCGCCTTGGGCCCAGGTGTCGGGGCCGCAATGAAGTGACTCAGCATCTCGGAGCCTTCCGAGGCGATCCCGGAGTCAGACTCTTCGCCATCAGAGCCGAGCATGTGTCCCGTAGGCCCCGTGGATCCTCCAGCTTCAGAGGCTTTTTGAGCCCTACTGCAGTGGACGTGTTCGAGCCATTGAGCAAACCACTGTGTGCAGTAGCTCCGAATCCAGGTGAGAACTACAGGACATGCATGCATCATCCCGGGGCACATAGCAAGTTCGTGTGGAGGCGCTCTCCATAAGCGCACCTGCTGTCCAGTGCATGAGCACACGAGCACACTCATCCCTAGCAAGTACACAGCGATGCTGCCAAATGCTATAGTTGCTCCCATTCCGAGAAAGCAGGCTCCGAGCGCCTCTGTCGTCCGCGCCCTGCATGATGTCTGAGTGCGAAGGAGCTTGCGAGCCCCAGCCAAGGATCTTCGGAGTTGTCGGGCACATGATGCAAAGGATGCTCGCTTCAGGGCTTTCGGAGCTCTCCATTCCCACATGCATTCGGTCCATGGTATCCAGACTAGGATCCTGTCGTAGGCATAGAGCAGGAAGCATGTCTTTACCAAACTCCAGATCAAATCCACTGACAATTCGCAGCACTGATACCCTGTCTGTATCCCGAAGCAACAGCCACCCTTCGTACAGTATAATGAATGCAGAGGCCTGGTTCCACCTTCTATCGCACCTCCTGCGAAAAGCCATCTGCAGTCTGTGCGATTGGCTGATCCAAGCCGCCAAGAAGATCTGGCTTTCAACCGCCGTCCGAACAGCATTCGCCAGTGGATCCGCTGGGTATGCAAGCCAGTAGGGGTGCTTCGGGATCTTGTTGCATCCATGGTACGGCTGCAGGGCTTTATCAGAGGTAGCTGAAAGTGCCATGGCTGTTCCGCGAGCGAAGCTGGGCCCGTGGATCCCTGAACTTGTCTACTTTCCAGCACGTTCGGCTTGTCAAGGAAAGACAGCACAGACCCCCACACCAAAAGAAGCGCAACCGGTCCCCCAGGCCAGCTGCTCATACGATCTACCTGCGCACCGGATCGGTGCTTCGTGAAGCCGAGAAGCTTACATACGCACACATACATACATGCATACATGCATGCATGCATGCATGCTTACACACACACACACACGGACGACGGACACTCCACTGTCTAAACCATGTTTCCTGCCGGCGGTCGAGTATGGAGCATAGAGGCCGCGCTCCCGCAGCAGATGGAGGAGGGAGTGGCTGATGCAGACTTCAGAGATGAGGCCGAATGGAGTTTGTTGTAGTCGGAGAGCTCGTACCGCCGGTAACTTTGTAGTGCAGAGAGTCACAGGCGCTTCCTGCATCTCCAAGCCAAGGCCAAGATGGGGGCGCGCCCTTCCTACTTTCGTGCTCGTGCAAAAAAAAACTCAGACTGTAGGCGAAGACGAGAAGCTCGGCGGGAGCGGGGCCAACACTCCCACTCCCATCGCGGCATCGGCCTTGGGCATGCACGGAGAATCGAGGGAAAGTGTCTGTTCGAAGCGCAGGGCCGGGGACTGCATGGAGGGCCACAATCGATTCTGGCTTTGACCCTGCTCAGGATGAGAGCCCTTATGATGAGCAACTTTCGGACGCGAAGGCTGGAAGCACATCCAGACCAAGACCGTCAGTGGACTTTGCAGCATGGTTGTATGTGCGAGGCTCTGGAACACGTGGAACCTGCCCTTGTGCAAACTATACACGCGGAGGCACGCCGGTGTCGAGCAGCGCTTCTGGAGTTGCCGCGGCAGAGAGCCGCGAGAACTCGAGCAGGAAGAGGTGGCGGAGATCGCCAGCAGCCGGGATATTCCAAACGTGCAGCGCTTACCGTGGCTCGAACTAGAAGCTGTCTGCGTAATGTGTACCAGTGCTGATCGTCCTACTCCTGTGTGACTGCGCAGGATGGGTCAGACACAGCACAGACACGCGTTATCCTTGCCATTGTGCCCGATCGCTGCAGCGATTGGCAGGCTGAACGGCATCACTGAAAATTCGGAGTAGGAATGTCAGCCCCAGTTTGTGCTTGCAAATTACACGTCTTTGCCTTCACCAGCTGATGATTTTCTGATGCCCTCGGCAGGTGGGAATGCTCAGAAAGCTGCTTGACATGGTCGGTGGCCAGGTCGCGCGTGAAGCATCGTCGCAAGATCTAGTAGGCAGGACAATGAAATGCCCTGAACCCGAAGCTGTAGTCTCGTCGAACCATGCCATAGGACTGAAGAGGCTCTTAAGGGGGGGGGCGGAAGACTAAGACTCGCTTTGTTGTGCCCCACCCCCCCAGGCGGAGAGGATGCGGCTGCGGCTCCTCGAGTTCTGAAGCTGCTTGCGCATGACAAGGAAGATCCGCAGCCTGAGTCGAAGGAGGACGGTGTTGAAACCCGCACCGTTCGGATTCAATCCGTACTCTCCGAAGGCCCAGGCGGAAGCATGACGCTCGAAATTCCGCGGGAAGCGAGTGTCGGAGAAGCCCGACAGCTCGTGACCACTCGCTGTGGCGGCGGAGCAGTGGGAGCTCACATACGCATGGTCCGCCGTTTCACAAAGACCTTGTTCCTACCACTTAGGGATGAAGAGCTGCTCAGTGATGTGCTTGGAGAGGATGAGGAGTTACTTTTGTTGGGGGTGGACCTCGCTGGTGTGGAAACTGAGGAGTCCAGGTCGAAACCAGAATCAGACACTGAAACCCCGGAAGGGCCCGAGCAACGCAAAGAAGCCACAGACGAAGCAGCCAGGTTTTTGATCGCGGCCATGGAGCTGATGGAGGATGCAGGCGTACAGGAACGTTTGATGGGCCTGCCCATGAGCTGTTCAACTGTGTTGGCTGAATGGGAACCTCCCTGGCTTCAAGATGGTGTTGATGACTTGGACGCGGCAGCCCTCAGCAACTTTCCTCCAGACACTGTCCTGGCTTGGGCACAGAGCTTCTCGGACCTGATCGATACAATGGCACGTAGGCTGCACACAGACGAGAGCGATGAAGTTGAAGAAGTTGAAGACCTTGATGAGGAGGTTCAAGAAGTTGAAGAGCTTGAAAAAGCTGAGGACCTTGATGAAGAGGTTCTAGAAGTTGAGGATGTTGAACAAGTTGAGGACCTTGATGAGGAGGTTCTCGAAGTTGAAGAGGTTGAACAAGTTGAGGACCTTGATGAGGAGGTTCTAGAAGTTGAAGAGCTTGAAGAAGTGAAAGACGTTGAAGTTGAAGAAGTTGAGCAGGTTGCAGAAGTCGCGGAGGTTCAGGAAGTGGAGGTGCTTGAGGAAGCAGGAGACATGGAACAAGTCGCAGTGGCGGAGGACATCCCAAAGGAGGCATCAGAGGCGTCGCGCACTGAAGCTCTGGAGCCGCATGAAAACTTCAAGGACGTCTTGCTTGTATCGGCACTCTACCCCGCTACGGTACACCGAGCTGCATGGAAGGATAGCATCCAAAAGGTTTTAGAGGACATCGCGGAGGCTGCCTTCATCTGTTTCCGAATTGCCGACCGCTCCGCCAATGTGTGCACAGTGATCTGTCTGACGTTGCAGGCGATGCCTGCTGAGCCGGAAATGGAACCCGAGCAAGAGCCCGACGAGGACATGCCAAGACTTCTATCAACTTGCCATTTCGCCGAAGTGTTACTGGTAGCAAGGTTAGCTGCATGTTTTTCAGAAGAAGTGAGCAAATACAGCAGGAACTACTCCGGCAGTGCTGACTTGCTGTCGGCAGGACGAAGAAGTCGTCCTGGTTGTTGTCGAGTTGGAGCATGTCGCGCCCTGGGATCCCGCAGAATCTGTGAAGCCCAGACGCAAGCGCAAGCTTGAGGCCACCACCGCGGAGCGGGTGGCCGTTGCCGTTCCGTCATCCTGCAACCTGGGAGAGGTTGGGAGGCACCACGCTTGCAAAACCAAGATCGCTTGCCTCGCAAGGTCAAGCTTGCATTGGCCTCCACCTTGGGACTGCAACGAGCCGGACGCCAAACCAGTCCATGCTGTACGGTACAGGTAGCCAGCAAGCTTCTCGTGCTTGCAAGATCTGCAGTGGCTGATGGACCGAGGCCGACAGCCTGCTCATCACATCGCCAGAGGGCGCCTTGCGCCAAGTCCGCCTTCCAAACCGGGAAGAGAGCATGGCGCGACCGGATGTGTCAGAAACTGCATACATAGCTGAGGATGTGACGTACTCCGATCACGAGACTTTGGGAAGCAGGCCTACCAGTATGTCGCATTGATAATCGTGCTTACGGAATCACTGTGCAGCGGAGATGGTGGTGGTCAACATGAGGCGACGGCTCACTTTCCGAGGTCCAGAGGCTCTGCGACAGCCTTTCGCTTTCGATCGTGAAGCCGCATGGAAGCGAATTGACAGTCTGGCAGCGCCCTGTTGCCGTTGCAGCCCGATGGCGATGCTAAGTCTACAACCCTGCAAACCCTAAACTCCTCAAGCCCAAGACCAAACCACTTCATCGCCAGCCATCACCAATCCCGCACACAGCACAATTCTTTTGCGAGCCTTCACAGCCATGGTTTGTACTGGTCAGACGTCCGAGGTGCAGGTTGCGTACGGTAAGACATACACACACACACACACACATGAAGCCGGTTTGATGCCAAAGTTGCATCATCCATCGCAATGGGACGATCCTCGAAGAAAGGAGACTCGACGAGTGCAGATTCCTATCAGTGCGTTTTGAAGCCGTCGCACTTTGGGTGGACTTCAGGTGACTCAAGTTCTGAAAGCCCATGTCGCAACTCGTGGGAAGGACTGTTCGCGTACACGAAGGATGGCTTCGATGCCATCTTCGCGCTGGATAACAGAAGCCTGGTTGAAGCTTTTTAACCAAAATCGGATTCCTTTGTTGCATTTCTTCTGCTGGAGAACGCCGTTGCCGAAAAGCTTTCAGATTGAGGTAATATTTATGCAGTCATCCTCTCAGAGATGATCTCAAACACCTTCAAGGAGGGCATGTGGTTCAAAGCGCTTACACCGTACATGCTGATCATCACTGACAACGCTCCGCTCTCGGCTGTCCACTGAAGCTGGCCTGTGCGAGACAGCGAGGTTGCTGCCGGAAAACCCAGGATCCGATTGCAGTGGGCAACATGATGACCTTGAATGGGCTTACGAGAGCTTTCGTAGGCACGGGATGGCACGGAACTTCATATAGTATAATATGATATAGTATAATATAATATAATGTAATGGGATTAATATGTGAGGGCTGCAGAGAAGGTATGCCTGCCCACTGTGCAGCGCAGGTGTATCTTGCGGAAGGCTCCTGATCAACAATTTCGGCATTGACACAGCGCGCTGTCTGACTTGTTCTTCTTGACATTCTCACGTATTTGGAAGAGCATGATGGCAATCTTCAAGGTGTGGCTTCTCAGCGGCATGGTGGGCTTGCTGGGTCTCCTGGTGAATGCTGTGCACTGAGAACCTCAGAGGGGTGCATCAGCATCTGCACTGCATTTCACGTAGTTGCGATCGCCAAGGTGATCTGCCTGTGTCAAGGCTCTGTCGCGGCGGCCTATGTGCTGAACTTCACCTGGGCAGCGTTTGCCTCAGATAGTGCTTGCAGTCATCGCAGAACGAGCGACAGACGGCAACACAAATCTGTCAAGCATCTGAAATAAGTGCAGCAAATGCAGCCAGCCTGCCAAGTGCACAGGGCCTGCCTCGTCACAAAGCCGAGGTGTACAATGGGCTTTGGAACTCCTGCTTGGAGACTTCTTGGGCTCGCTCCATCATAAAGAGCAAGAGGGCCCCTTGGTGTATGATTAGTGACTTGTCATGCCCGACATGCAGTCTACCTGACTGCCTCTGCACTTCTCTCTGCCGTCCGTGAGGAGGATATCAACGGAGCCAGGCAGATCACCAACAAGGTCACGACTTCCTTGGGACCGCTGATCTCGGCCGTCGTTGCCTTAGCCTCTCCGGAGATTTGGACCAAGGGAAGAAGGGGGTGGAGTCATGCAGGCCATCTTCCTCTACTGTGGCAACCGTTGGGACCCATTTTGCCTTGTTTCGGCAGCTGTACACTACGGAGGTTGCGGTTCAATGCGTGCCGTTGTTCCTCCATTGCTCCGTGCAGGACGTGTCACTTGTACAAAATGTCATGCTCCTGGGCACGGCGATGACGGGCTTTGTCGCAGCCTGTAAGCAAGAAGTGATTGTCTCGAAACCGTGCCAGAGATTTGCTTTTCAGCCCGCGTTGTTACAGTGTGGGCACTAGTCACTAGTAGCTACTTTTTCATTCGTGGCGAAGTGTGTTCCATGCGCGAGGGGGCTGACATGTCTAAGGTGGCTATGTGCTTCTGCTTCCGTAGCTCCCTCGAAATACAGCAGGCCTTGCACGTCTGCAGAGTGGAGCGCTCCTTTGCCAAGCCGAGCTTTGGATTCTTTTGCGAGTTCGCATCTTCGCCAGGATCTGCCACTGAGGGAGATAGAGAGCATCCAGCGGCTCGGATGTCTTGCGCCATCTCCACTTTGCTCAGAAACCCTTTGCACAGCGCTCGCAGAACACGCGTGCTACTAGCTTCATCCGTACGAAATGTCGGTGGAAACCAGGTTTCCCAAGCTGTCAGAAGATCTGGGACTTGCTCTCAGCTCAGAGGCCGGGTTCTAAGTGTGACAGAGTGACTCTCAGGGCTTCTGCTTGATGCGAGGCACCGTCTACAAGCATCACCTTGAGACCCGAAGCTATGAGTCAAAAGGATTTCCTGGCAGATGATGATGGTTATGCTCCGATCTCAAAGACACCAGCTGGGACAAAGAGCGCCCAGTAGTGGAAGCCCTGCCCACTTCTCACGAGTCTCATCTTAGAAGGTGCGAGGCACAGTGCTCACACTACCCAAGTCCTCTACATCGTCTGGAGAGCTGCACACCAGTCCGTGGTTACCTAGGTCATGCTGACGTCGCCTCTGGGAGGGAACTCAGATTCATGGGCTTCGCGCATTCGCCAACTGGCAGACTTCAGATTCGTCTAAGATGCCACAGCCAAGCACCACACGTCACCGATAAAAGCGACACGTCCATCCGAGGCATAGTGACGACGAGTTACCAGGAGACTCCGCTCATACTTGTGAAACAGCAGCCGGGCAGCAGCTTTTGAGAGATTCGTGGAAAAAGCCAGCACTGCTCAGCCAAGTGTCACGAAGGTTCCGCGCAGCCTTGAAGGCAGTGCCACCCGATCAGACAAGTAGCGCAGTCCCCAGTGTGATGGGTTCCACGACGCAGGTTGAGCACGATGTGTGGTTCGAGTTAAGGTGTGCTTCACTTCCTTGATACCTCACGAGCTCCTGCTGCGGTGCAAATCGAGTCGCTGGAAGTCTATCTCTCTCAAGCTCCTTACTTGGATTTACATGTGCCTGCGGTGTCAGCTGGGGACCGCGTATGGTTTCAGGTCGAAGAAGCCTCCAACGACCCTGCACCGGTTGATTTGAGAAGGAGCACCCCACCTGAAATTTTGCACTCCGAGCCTCTCACGGTGACGTCTGACCTCATCTGAGGTTCGATCCGCTTTAGCGTGGACTGCACAGAAACATCAAAGCTGAAGCCAGCGCCGTCCTTCGGGCACATTATGTGGGGCCTTGTTCTGGGAAGCTAGCCTGCAACCCTCGTCTGCAAGCGAAGCTCATAGTGCCTTGTAGTCCTGCATCCAAGGAAGCAATGCTCAAGCACTGCATGGACAAGGTCTGCAATCGTTCTGCACTTGCAAACGTGGGAGGGGCAGCCTGACAGGACTGGAGGAAAGCCTGCTAGCTTTTGCACAGCGAGAAGGCCTGACAATGGGGAATTCCTGCCTAGCTCTGCCATGCGGCAGTTGAAAGATGTGTATGTGTGTATTGTATGCAAATATGATAATCATGATAGTTACAAGTCAACATAACATCATACAATATGACAAGGTATAGTATCATAGTGTAATCCAGCCTGATAGGTCTTATACACGTGTCTGTTACACGTATTCATGTCCAGGATCTCGTGGCTCTTTGTGCCCGACGTTTGTCAGCAGCAAGTTCTACTGCATGGCTACGGCATCGGGAAGGGCTTGTCGTCTGTCGCAACTTGTGATTTTGGTGTGGTGTCGTGTGGCCAAGCTAAGGAAAGGGAAGACTGCAACGGAGATTCTGACTCCGAAAGGGCCGAAGCGAGATGCGTCTCAACCAGCACGAACAAACATGCTGGGAGCGAACGTCATTGTGTCTTCGTCTGCACGTGAAGTTTTTAGGCAGCAGCCGCGATATGCTGCACTCATCTTGGGCTCTTCTATGCAAGTGGAGAATCGGATACAACTTCGGCTTCACAGTCCAGCAGTGTTCTCCCTTTGAGGTCACTTGCGATGTTCTGAATGCGCTTGGTGCAGGGTTCTCGCTGAAGTTCATCGACCTGTTCCTCAAGGTCTGGAAGCACACATGGGTTGTGTTTGTTTTGCAAGTTCTGTACATGTCTCCATGAGAGGAACTCGTGAAGATAGCTGGACATGCTGCTTCGCCTGCTGGCAGGTGGACTACGGGGTGTCTCCAGCAGGCAGGCAGTAGCCACAGCAGGTGATATGTGGTGTTATGTTGTAGTGGTCGATTGCACCAGTACCACCAAATTCGAACATGACACTTGTCGTGGGACGGAAAGGCGCTGCATTAGTTCACAGCTGCCTGCTCCACCTTCAAGAACGACACATGCACGTCGCACAATACTTCGCAAAAGGCAGCCAGTCTCAAGCTCCTCGCACTTTGGTGAACAGTGAGGTGTTTTCCTTGTGGCGTTCTTGCAGAACATTCTGGGAGCCTGGCTTACACCGGTGTCAAAGACGCTGCTAGCCACTTCGCAGAACTTCAGTATTCTATGCCTCAGCCGCCCCAGTTTGGCAAGGGATGGAGTACCAGCTTCCCAGCCTTGAATTGCTCGATGATGTGGAAGATTGGACCGAACTACAGCCCAGACCCGCACGGAAGTGCAAAGGCTATTTCATTGATTGGTGCTGCTAAGGTCCGACTACGGGCAGAGGGCTACCGTGCCAAACTGGGCGTCGTCGCTTCCTTGCAAAAGAAGCATCCGTTGTCGCAAGTATTGTGTCATGGTACTAATGCACAGGGCGATAAATCCGAACCCTTTCCAAGTCCATAGAATCAGAGGAATTGGCCCGTAGGCCCAACAACAGCAATTGAGTCTGGGGGAAGTAGGAGAAGCACTAACATGACTCGACCAGCTTCGTGAGTCTAGGCCAAACAAGTGCGAGTTCTTGGTTGTCTCTTTCCTGAGCGATAGGTGTGTTTGTGTGCGTGTGTGTTTTTGAATGTATGGTTCTAGCACGAAGCACAGAGTCTTTAGATAGCTTGACTCTCTGGCATCCCCAGAGCCTTCTGTATCGACAATGAACTGGACTGTGGCTCTTCATCTTGCTGGACTCTGCTATACTCTGATAGACTGCTAGACTTACCGAATCGACGGTGAAGCCAAGCGCAGCGCTTCGCTCAGGTGTTTCTGTGGTCTCTGGCCCTGTTCTTTCTGGCCTTGGTGTGCATTCCAGGAATGCCACTGTGGGTGGTCGTACCTTCCATCGTCCTCATGCAGTCGCTGAACTCTTGTACACGCGCTTTCAATCGGGCGCAGCTAATCAACTTCCTCCCGCGCGAAAAAATCGCAACTTACATGATCCGCGCTCAGTTGAACACGGCTCCAAGAAGCGGGCTTTGGAATGCGAGACTGTGGTTAAGTGCAATACACCTCTCAGGACTTGGGATGCGCTGAACAAGGCCAACCAAGGCGGAATTGCGATCTTCGGAGCCCAGGTCGTTGCATTCGCTGGCTACCGGGGATGTTTTGTGGGCACCTTCTTGCTGCTGTTTCTTCGCGCCTTGGCAGCCCAACAGCCCAACGCAGTGACGTGTGAGGGCACACTGGAGTCCCGATCAGGCAGTGCTTGCTACACTGTTGAACTTTCTTGTAAGCTGCTCAATTCCTGCTGAGGTATGCTCATCTACTTGGCATTTACACTCAGAAAAGGCACGGTTTACAGAGGCCACCACTTCCGCTTTCTGACTGCCTTCAGCCCGTCGTCATGTCAATGTGTGTTGACAGTGCTTATACGGCGTGGTCTCCGACTACTCTCATGGAGATTGGGGACTCCTCACGGTTTCTGGCTTGAGGCTCTGACATCATATGTTGCTCGATGGAGTCCTCTGCCTAACCACCTCAGAATCAAAAGTGGTCGTGGGATTCCCATTGGACGCCTTTCGTGTATTCCCGATCGTGACGAAACTCCAGGCCTTCAAAAGTAGCTCCAATAACTTTTGGGATGGTTAACACGGTCTGACGTGATCTGAGATCTTGGTGAAGAAACAGGAATGCTCCATCAGTATTCAGTCATCATCCTGCCACAGTGGTGATGGCTTTTGCTTTGATTTAGTCCGAAAGGAGGGTCGCGCAGCCAGGTGGTTACTTGCGCGAGCTCGAGCCGCGCCTGCCGACTACGATGTCTGAGCAGTCAATGTCCTCCGCCAAGTCGATGAGGAGACAATAAAGGAATCAGTCATTAGTAGTAACTACTAGTAGTTTAGTAGTAGCAGCAATAGAGCAAGGATCGTCAATAGTACTTGCAATATAGCTTCGTGTGAATTCGTGCGTTTCTACCTTACCTGCAGTGTGGTTTCTGGTCAATGTCAGAGACGTCTAGGATAGGACTTAACGTGAATGCAGTTGAAAGCCGAGGCTTACTGCCGAGGATCTCAACTGTGCCTTGCCTACAAGTTTGGGCGGAAAGAAAGAGGTCTCGGCCTGAGCATGGCCGAGCTAAGGTGTCGAGAACTTGCGTGCGCACTTCGACGGCGATCAGGACGTGCTTTGCGCAGGGTGAAGGAAGCTTCTGTGAGAGCCCACTCGCTCTTTCAGGAGTCGCAGATGTTTCAGCCGGCGGAGGCCTTGGCTCTGGCATCTGAGAACCCCGCCAAGCTCCGATACAGTGGCCAGGCCGGGCAAAGGGCAAAGGGACTTTTCGTTTTTTCTTCGCAGTTTCTTGGCTGTGTGACGCAGGGCGAGCTGCTCGAAGTGCAAGGGGTTGCGGCTGGCTGGCAGGATTTTCATGTTTGGAATATTGGCATTCCAGCCCCAGCATTCGTATAAGGAAGAGCTTCTCTTCGACGAGAACGAGGAGCAGAGGCCGGTGCTTCTCACGTTGACGGCTCGAAGTTGATGGTCGCAAGATTTGCCAGGGCGCCATCACGCCGGGGTACCAAAGAAAGACCTCTGAATGTGTGATCTGACTCAGTTCCGGGGAGTGCTGCTTGTGCAAGACGCACGACGCAGCCGAGCCTTGATTTGATGCCAGAGCCGACACTGGCCGGCAGCAGGATGAACCATCCCGCGCCATCGATTGAGAAAATGAGTTCGTTGGCAGAGGTCTCTCATGGACTCATGGTATCTCACTGTAAACTCAAACTTCGGACAGAATGGGACCTGCTCAACCCATGCGACAGGGACAGGATGATGATGACGAGGTGATCGACATCATCGGCTAAAGTAGACACCTTCCGCAGAAGCAAACGATGCGCGCTGAGTGGCATACGTTTTCCGCCACATGCGCGTGATGAGCTTGGTTGGTGCTTGCGCCTCAGCACCAGTGCGTGTCCACGCAGATCAACTTTTGGCTTCTGGTGCAGTGAGCACCGCTTTCGTCATGCCAGTCTCCAAAAGTGAGACAGCGAGACATTAGGCTAGTCGTGCACGACTTGATGTTCCTGTAAGGGCATGAGCATCATGCCCTGTGGTGCGTAGGTTTTCAGGAGGCGCAATTTTCTTGATTTTCGGAGCGACGGCAAGTATGCCCTCGTGCTGCAAAAGCATGTGCAGATCTGCGGATAGATGTGACTCTTGTCTTTTCTCGTCGATGCTTTTGTTTGGAGCTCTTGATCTCAATCCGTACTGTTCAAACAATGTGGACGTTGCAGTCCTTAGCAGGTGCCGGGTCGTTCTGTTCGAGCATGTCTGGACTTCTTGGCCCTTGCAAGCTCAACTTGTTGCGATCGTCGTGGCAGGACGCCTGCACTTGGAAAAATTATCGCACTTGATTTCATCTGCAGCCTTCTTGCTTGCATAATAGAGCAAATGAGATGGGGAGAACTGAGATATCTCTGCAGCTTGTCGGACTGAAGTAGACCATTATAGAACAGTCTTCCGGGAAAGCCCAAAGTAGGATTTATGTTTCTTGAACTGCATCGTTCGGAGCGTCATCCTGATGTCTCATGAGCACGCCTGTGGGCACCTTGCGCCTGGACGTGCTCTCAAACCTATGTTCTGCGGCAGACAAGGGTAACATTCACGCCGCAGCAGAACTGCTGCCATTCCTGTGCTTTTGTTTTCAGCAACCACCGGCCCTAGCCGCGTCATTTAAAAGTGGCACGGGCCTGCCAGACTTTGCGCTGATCAATACGACGATCTCAAAGCTCTCTTCTTTTCATTCATCCACGGGCCCCGAAAGCAGCACCGCGCTCTCAGTAGCCAAAGTTGCCGGTGATCTTATGGAGTCTATTTCTCTTGGTTTTTGCCCAGAACAGGCGGAGGAGAGGGACAAAGAGGAGGGAGAGGATGCAGAGATGGAAGCGGCAAATGCGACTCAGGAGCACAGCGCAGAGGCTGGAGACTGCGAGGGTCAGCCGGAGCAGTGCATTTGGTTGCTCAGCTTGCTCGCCGCTTCATTGCCATTGATGGCAGACTCGCTGCCAGAGGACGACAGCGGAATCTGCGTCTTGCCCCATCAGCACAGCATGGACCTGCAGAACGCTGATGATTTGTGCATGCCGATGCGACTCTGGAATGGCCGACCTGTATACGATACGCAGAAGATCTGTGATCGATGCATGGAAGCCATTCAGGAGCGCGAGTTCTACCACTGCTCAAGGGACTGCGACGTGGATTTTTGCAGCAGCTGTCATGCAGAACTCCAGGCAGTTCTAGACAAGCACTTTACCGCACGATGCTCGAGGATACCTATGACGCTCTTGGTTGAGCGCATGGCATGGACCATGCACGTAGCTGATGAGCTTGCTTCAAAGATCTTGCAAAGAACAAGGCGTGAACGTGAGCTGTTGGCTCGTGTGCTTGCTGACGAGTGGCCCCTGGAGATGTTTTCAACGCTCGTCGCTTCCATCGTCGACGTGTGCAATGCAAAAGTGTTGTACAACTCATCAAACGGAGCAATTACATCCTCTGTTCGCCGTTCCTTCATACACGAGCAAGAACCCTATCAGCAGCACTCCCAGCCCATGTATGAGGATGACTCATTCTGGAAAACAATTGGTCTCCTCCAATTCCTGTATGCCAGCAACATTCTCCGGAAGGGCTCGCATGTTGGCTGCGAAGGCGAACACCGCCCTGCGGTCAACGCGCTGAGCTTTGTACCAGAAGCAATAAACCAGTGCAGGCCTGAGGTGGAATGGGAATACTGGAGCAAACATGCAGCGACTGTAATGCATGCACTTCCGAACATTCTCTCCGACGAAGACTTCTCAACAACGTCGCCCGAGTTTAGGTGTCTGGCCGCTCATACCAACATCCTGCCGATAAACTTCCGGAGGAGCTGTGCAGTTCTAGATGTACGTCAATGCATCTGTTCTGGAAATTCCTGGCCACAGTTGCTGCCACGACGGGTGACCATCCGTCGTGAACCCGAGCTTCTCATCGCCGATCTAGAGGCTTTCCTATCTGAAGACGAAGCTCCAGAGCCAGGAACCATGGAATGTTGCACTGAGCTAAGTGGTGCGGAGATGGAGAGGGAGGCAGAGCCCGAAGTCCCGAGCCAACGGCCAGCTCGCGCGACTTCGCTTCAGCAGCCATTCCACGTCACATTCCAGGGTGAAGATGGACAAGGCCCTGGAGTCAGGAAGGAGTTCTTCCATGCACGAGCCTGAACTTCAACGTCCTGTCGGTATCAGCTGCTTGTCTCTGCCCGAAGTCCCTACCTGCGCCTAAACTGAAGGTTGCCACACGCGCATTCCTCTCCCTGTTGTTCGACGAAGTTTGCAGCCGCCAGTGCACTAGCTCAAGTTGTGCCGCGTCCGGATGTGCCGATACTTCTTTTCAGCATTGGGCACAGGTACTGGTTTAGGAAAGTTGACAGACCAGCGGCCTTCTTTGCCATCGACTGAGTATCCCATGACTTCGTTTTTCAGCAGAGCAGCGGCAAGTTTCCGGCAAGTTCCACGTTGCGCAAGGCATTTGGAGCACTGCTGGGCCACGCCATCGTGCATGATGTACCTGCCTTTCTTGAATGTGTCAGTTGAGTTTGTTTGCGTTCGTCTCTCAAGTTCGCGAACCCTGCAAGGTGCTGATCCCAACTGCTTTTCCTTGGCCCTGCCCTTAGTGCCACTTGAACATGCAGTGAACTGACGCAGCCGAAGGGTGAGCAGAATGAGGACTCTCTTTGACTTGCTGTTGCTGGACATGGGGGCGCCGTGGGCTTCCCGGCTTTTCTGTGCTTGCTGTGCTGCCAGAAATGTGAAAGTCAGCCTCGAGGAATGCAAGCGGCCGCCTGAGCCTTTCCCACCTCGCTGCCCTGGCTCCAGAGGAAGCGCACAGCCTGCTGCTGAGAAGTCACAGTCACGGCGCGGGTGCTACCATACGTGCAGACCGCGTCTCTTGGGGAAAAGGTCTCCGGCAAATTCTGGACTACCAGGCATTGCGAACACCTTGTGAGCCTTTGCAATCCATGCTGTGTGCAAGAACGTTCCATCTTGCGTGTTCGCAGGGCTCGGACCTTGAGAAGCACTTCGGGGAGCTTGGCTGGGAGAGGACGGGAAGGCCAAGCGGTCCTTTTGGATATTTGTCGTTCCAACGACCCGTGCTTCTTGTTCGGCCTTTCAGCCTTGTTCGAGGCTGAAAGGCCGAAGCCTTTCACAGGCCACAGCACAGTACAAGAGGGAGCACATGGGAGCACTGCGCAAGCGTTTCCGGGAGACTCTCTGCTGGTCCGTAGGCCTCGAAGAGCGATTTCGTGAATGCTTACATTGACTGGCGCCGGCCCTCACATCAACGGAAGCGCCACGTGAGCAAAAGCTGTTGCCTCACAGCTCAGGCGCCTCAGTGACGACATCGAGGCCCAGTTTAAGCCCTTCAGTCGTGGATTCAAGCAGGCTCTGTTCTGAAACTGCGACAGTGGCAGTGACGTGGTCAGAAGTCTTGTGTGAGCTGAGGTCGTTGGGGATTCACACATGCTTCGCATGCTGGATGCAGAGTCGTCGGCTTGGCTTCTCCTGCCACTATATAAGTACCGCGTGGCACACTAATTTCTGACGGCTGAGGCAGCTTGAGTGGATTGCCGGGATCTTTTGAAGTCCTGCCTAGAGTTCTGGGAAGATCGCGAAAGCAGCGCCAGGTCTCCGGTGCTCAACGCCCTGTCCCTCGTCCTTCAAGCAAGTCCACTCGAGTTGTGGTGTAGGCTTGCAGCCCGGCGAACACCACGCGACAGCAGGTCGACATGGCTGCTGTGCGAAGTCGTGCTGATCACGAGGGCTGGACCTTCGAGGCTGCAGCGATTTGCTGATTTTAGTGTTGAGCTGCTCATAGCTTGCATTCCGTCGCACCGGGCTTACACATGTTGGGACGATACACGAGAACCGAACAGGAAAGAGCTGCCTACCTGGACCCATTCTGGAAGTTTATCGAGGGCTTGGCCGAGGACAGCCTGGGAGCTACTAGTAGACTATCGAGCAGGGAAAAGTTCAGACTGGGGCCTGACCTGTAGAGACATCTGCGCAATGTCTTCACATCACGAGCCCTGTGCTGCACTTTCTTTTACTCTGGGTTATCAAATGCGTTGTTCTGGCATTCAGGGATTCCGTTCGGGGCTTCACGAGGATGGGAGGGCCGTCGTACAGTTAGGCATGCTTCTGAAGGCGTCTTTGCAATCGCAGTAGAAGGCTGATTTTGTGGAAAGCAGATCTTCAACGGAGGCGGGCTGGGACCCTGGTCGGTACGTCTTGCGGCTTCGCAGGAGGAGAAGAAGCGTTTCCTGGTGTTCGTGACTGCCTCTGATCGAATGCCGGTGCGAGGTGCCAGATAAAGGGTCATAGCACAAGAGTCGGGTTTGAACGGACTCACTTCAAGTCCCAGTTGCCGTAAATGCAGGGTGGGCAAGTCTGCGCCTCCTCGTTCAGAAGAATGGTGCCGGGGACGACAGGTGCGGCGAGAAATCGCATCCTTTGCTCCCATTGCTCCGTGTCCAACGTACCAAGCAGCTTGCACGCCAACCCAAGCCCTCCTTACTGCTTGCAAGATCTGGTTGAGTGTTCCTGGCTGCTACTTTGTCAAGCTGATCAGAACAGAGACGACGCCATACGACATCACGAAAATCTTCGTAGCTGCAGGCTGCCCACGGCGTACACCTGCTTCTCACTCCTCCTGCTCCCTCTCTACAGCAGCCTGGAGGCCTCCGGAGCCGAAAGGGTGGAAGGTGCGCTGTAAGAATCCTTCCACAAAGGTGCTGAAAAAGAACATGCTCCTGGCAATGACGAACTCAGAGGGG